TTTATTATTATTAGTTAAATAATTTTGTCTTTGAGTCAGCAGGATGTGTCATTGCCTTCAGAGTATCTAATTATAATCCCTCGATTCAAACTCTAAATAGGTCAATAATTCCTTCAGTAATTGACATTAATATTTTTATAAATATGCAACATTCTATACTTTCTTTTCAATTTTTGCTATCTGCACCTTCAAGTGACTGGAAAAGATCTATTCACATTATCAAGGACAGTAGTTTTTCTCGAAGGCAACTGATATAACACAAGACCACATGTTAAAGACATCTAAAATTACCTTCACAACAACACCTAGATTACTGTTTACCTTATTCCATTTGTGTTGGTATAACTGTATTCCTCAGGCAGGGTAATTTATAAAGAAGGTTATTTGGCGTACAGTTCTGCAAGATGTACAAGGAGCATGGCACTGTAATTTGCATCTGGTGAGGGCCTACAGCTATTTCCACTCATAGTGACAGAGGAAGGGGAGCCAGCATGCATACATTAACTTGGTCCAAAAGTAATTGCCATTTTAAAAATGGCAAAAACCACAGTTGCTTTTGCACCAACCTAATAGCTCACATGGCAAGAGGGGAAGCAAGTTGAGGGAAGGTGCCATATTCTTTTTAATAACCAGTTGTCACAGAAGCTAATAGAGAGAGAATTCACTCATTACTTTAAGTACAGATCCAAGCCATCCATGAGGGATCCACCCCCATGAATCACATACCTCCCAGTAGGCCTCCACTCAGAGATCAAATTTCAATATGAGGTTTGGGGGATAAATATACAAACCATAGCAGTTTGATTTAATTACTGGGTACTACACTATAGACACATTAATCTTACTACCACAGGTAAATTTCTGTTCTACGAATATAGCAAATGAATGTGTAATTACTTCAGGAATATATATGTTTCCAATTTCATTTAATTACATTCATCAAACGATAAAGATTTTCTGCAAGAACAACTAAGTGCATAGAAGGAAAAACTATACATTTGACCCCTGAGGTTAATAAGTGGGTATCGGATTTTTAAGATACCAAAACATACTTTATACAAAGTATAATGTCAAATGATTTGGATCAGATGTGGATTCAAAGGTCAGTTCTGTCATTTTACTGGTGACATGACTGAACAATTTGTATAATCTCTCTGAACTCAGTACCTTTATCTGGTAAACAGAGATAATAATATGTCTGGCCTATAATATGCCCAACACATATTAAGTACTCGGTAGACAATGCATATTATATGAGGCAAGAAAACACTTTATTTTCTTAGTTGCATTTAAGATCAACAATAGTAAGTTTTCTGTATTTGTAACCCATGCTCCTCTTACCACTACTCAACTGTCATTCATTCAACTTTGCCTTTCTAGGTAGGGTAGATTTTGATAATCAGAATATTTTATTTCCTAAGCAAAAAAGATATATTTTCAGTATAAAGATGATTTCTATTCCTAGTCAAGATTAATTGTTGACTCTGTACAAACCAGAGCATCATTGAATAAATTTTAGTACATGAAAAAATGAAGGCATATAAGGGTCCCCAGAATGAAAAGTTAGTGGAGACTGAAGTCGAGAACTGAAAGGCAGGAGGCTAGGAAAAGTTGGCTGGAAGTCCAAAGAAAAGACAATTAGAACAAATCAATTTTTGGTAGAAGAAAAATATTTCTTGAGAATTGCTAACAATTATTGCCCAATGTATTCTCTCTTCTTCTAAAATCCATTCTAGTAAAATACATGCTTCTTATCCTGTCTTCTGTAATCTATGTTATTTTATAGGAATTAAGACACCTGTTGAATTCTACACTAGATTGGTGTCAAATAACAGCTCCTTCTGGGGAAGCGCCACACTAGCATTCTTATGATAACTATTTGGTCTGAGAGTAGGAGAGCAAAAGGAATCAATGTAAGAGAAAAGAATGAGTGTCCAGAAATTAACCTGAGAATATGTATGGAAAAGTATGCATTTCAAATAAGAGAAGGAAAACAGGATTTATTTAATAATGTTCAAAAATATGGTGAATTGAAGGGAAAAGAGGAAGTATTGCAAAATGGATTATAATTATAAATACTTACCAAAGTCCATAATTATATAGAGACAACTTAAGATCTATAAGAATATAATTTTTTTTTTTGGTCTATCATGTTTAGAGATGCTTCCCTCATTCTTAAAAAAAATATCAATTGTATAGTTGGTACTTAGCAATTTAATTTTATTAAATAAATGAATAAACACTATGATAAACACCTTACCTATTCTTTTCTTTTTAGATTGTCAGATTATTTCCCCTAAAATAGATTAAATCAATACTAGCCAAATTTTCTCCTGCAGCAGTTTTGTTTTAATAGTGCCTGGTATATAGTAAATGACCTTCAGCTAAAACCATTTCAAATGTTAAGAGTTCACCTCTACCCTATATTAAACAGAAATAACGCTTCTCTACTTTCATGGTAACTATTTTGAAATAATCTTTAAATAAAAAATAGGCTCTTCATTTAAATCTAAATAATCCTATAAAAATTTAGAGAAATTTTTGTTGACCTATATATACTCTGGACATTTAATTAGAATCATACTCCATTACCAGACAACTAATCTAGGTTACAGTATAAAGTAAATAAATATGCTTAAAATTGAAGGAGAGTTCAGAGTGGTCATGAATTTCCAAGCTATATCTTATCGAGATAATATTTGACTGCCTAAAAAAAAATGAGACAGAAATTGGTAAAGAAGAGAACAGAGCTTTTCATCTGTTGGCAATAAAATGAGGAATGCATAATTAAGGATAATTGTAATTATTTTGTGAGTTGGATTGCTTGTCTCTCTGTATATAAGCACTGTGATACACATTTTAGAACTACTTTTACATACTTAGAACACACTTTTACAGGCTTAGAACATGCTTTTCATTCAATGCAAGAAATATATATTATTCATAATGAATTAATCTTATAAGTTCCACGTATGTATAAGTATATATAATTAGGAATTAATTTATAAAAAATCTTGTATCTCTAGAGTTTTGTAATAAAATGCCACAAATAACAGAAAAGGCACAAATAAATATCCTCTGATACTCATTTATAACAGTACTGTATAACAGTAAGGAGTTTCTCTCTACCACACCAAACTAAGAGAAGTTACTGGTACATTGCAAAAACACAAGTCAAATAATACGGTCCACATGATTGAATAAAAAGTGCATGTATAACTATTTAAAGTATTTTTGCTATCTTAATATTTCAAATGTTTTACTATTTCATTTTAAATATCACAAAAATTATACAAAATACTGAATTCCTATTTACAATGTTTTGTTTCTAAAAGGATCATCATAATTTTTAAAAGCTGTCTCAGCACACATACACACACACACACACACACACACACACACACACACAAAGGTATGCATTTTTTTAAACCAAAATTTGACTACTTCTTGAGAAAGCCATAATTAATATTTCATTGTCTCTTATTTCTGTAAACTATCCTTCTTTAGGAATTTATTTTGTTATCTCTTAATATCAGTTGAATTTCTTTTCTGTTTTTAGAACTGAACATTTCCTCCCAGGGTAGGATGTTTATTAGTGATTTTATTTTCATTTTACATTATAATATTAAATCAAATATTTAAGAAGAAATAACTGAATCAATCTCAAAACCAAATACTCTTCTCCTTCTCTCAAAAAATTTTACAGTAAGTAGAAGTTTTACCAAGAACACAGAAATTGAACTGTATACTTAACTATTTTAAATTTTTGTTTCATTATAAGAAAGTTGATAATTACAAAGAAAAAATATACATACATAATGTATAAATTATTAACAAAAACATAAACATCGACTTACTCACAGAAAACTTAAAAAGCAGAACATCTTGTATACCTTTGAAGTTTCCAGCAGCCACTTCAGGATACTGTCAATCCTGCAAGATATAAGTAATATGTGAAATTTTGAGCCTATATTCCATTATTTTATACAAACACGTTTGTTTGTGTGTTCCAAATCTTCAGTCTGAAGATATATTGAGTATTAAAGCTTAAATTCTTTAGAGTCATACATTAAAAGCACAAAAAATTGAAAGTTAATTCAGATGTAAATCATAACCCACACTTAAGGGTGAGAGAAAGTAAGATAGCAGTGAGAACTATTTCAGTCTTGATATGAATAAATTGGACAGTGGTTCTACATTTTATGTGACATAAATTAATTAAAATTCCATGACTATTATTCGACGTAACCTGAAAGTTCTTGTTATCACTGCTTTAGTTTCACCTTTGAATTTAATTTGAATCATTTATTTGTTAAATATTTCAATATTTTTTACTGTCCCTTACCTACCAAGTCCTGAACTTGGCACTGGACAAAAGAGTGTCTGAGCTAAACATAGAGAGTTCAATCATGAATCTTCTAGTGTCAGAGAAAGAAATTAATGAAGCAATTATGGAAATAAGTAAATGCATACAAACTATTATATGTTTATGAATCAAATCTAACTTCAGGTAGTGATATGCAATAATAAAGTGGAGATCACTAATGATGTACAATGATAGTAGAAAACTATAATTTGCCTTTCTTCATTTTCAACATAAAGTGTAAAAAAGTAAGATTAACCTTGGATTCTAGTCATTAAGTTTTCTTAGTCATTAAAAAATTTGAAAAATATTCAAACTAGTTTTGTATATGCATTTATACCTTGGACTTCACAAAGCAAATAACAAGAATATTCAGTAGCTATCTAAATAATCCTACCAATTAAAAAAGAAAAAAATGTAAGGAGAGAGAAGAATTGCTCTCAGGACCTGGAGAGAAAAGAAAATTGTTCTTTTCTTCTTTTGTTTTTCTGCATAATATACATAATACTTTCATTTACGAACATTGGAATACAGATTTGCTATACACACATTACCTATATAATGAAAATGTACATGCCATGAGTATATGTCACTGTACAGAGTTTTAGAAATCTTGAACCTATGCTTCCTGTTCACATCAGTTTCTTCTCTTCTTCCTCCCGTCATGTCCATCGTTAAAAGATGGACAAAAGAGACAAGTGTCATATGTGTTGGTCAGGGCCCAGAATTTGATACACTCCTTGTACAATACATGGGGACATGCCATTGGATGCCATTCACTGGGCTGGATGAGTTTCTGGCACATTAGACACAGCCTACAGGTGGCTGGAGCATGTGAAGACCTTCCAGGGTATGAAACTTGGGCAGAAGGCAAGAACATTGGGATACTGATTTGGGCCAGTGGAGGTGGGAACAAGAACTGGATATGACCAAGTAGCTGAGAACTTGCTGCCACCCGGTCATGTTCTGCCAGTCACGGCACAACCAACTGGATAAGCTCCTCCATGGTCAGGCCTGCCATGGTGGTACGTGCTGTCTTGATCTGCTGAGGAATGTTGGTCATCTGGGCCTTTCCGCACTGTGGGAATTGAGTCAACAGCTTCTCCACGGTTTTCTCCAGGTTGTCTACTGGTTGGGGCCGGGGAGTTTCCGTAGAAGCCTTAACACCACCCAAGCCTGGGGGAGTTGGGACGGAGTGCAGACTGTGGGGGCTGACAAGGGAACCCAGGCCAGGGCTACTTCTGCCATGGGAGCCAGGAAGGGGTGAAGAAGGCTGGATGGGCTGCAAAAGGGCGGGGTTCGGTATCGGGAAGGACAAGGAACAGGGATCTGCACCAGGCACAACCACGGGCACTGTGGGCCGCCCAATGAAGAAGGGCATCCAACGAGCCAGAGAGGGACCGGGTTGAAACACCTGAAGCATGAAGTCGGTCTCCGACGGGGGTGGAGGCAAAGCAGGAGTAGGGATTTGAGGAAGGCTGCTCAGCTCGGCTCCATTCCTCGCTCGCTGGATGTGACCATGCCCTCTCCTGTTTGGAAGGAACTGTCTCCAGTTTCACCTTAAAATCAGTCTGCACTGCAATGTTCTGAGAACGCTTCAGGGAAGAGCCATCTTGGTCATCACCCTGACTCACCCGGACTCCTTCGACTCCGTCTGCGGGAGGCACTGCCGGTCGGAAATCCCGGCCCCCGGCCCTGCTACCTCCCTTTCGGACGGAGGCCGGCGGGGACCTCCCTTCGCAGCCATTCCCAGGGGCGAGCGGCTCTGTATGCCGCCCTGCCCCCTGAAGCCAAGCGACTGGCAGAAAGACAAAGGGCTGCGGCTATCGGGTTTTCTCCTGACAGCGCCTGGTGCGCTGCGGAAGTGTCACCTGCCGATAAACCAAGATTCGGACCCCAGGGCTCCACATGGGCGTTTCTATTTATTTTCCTTGATTATCGTGTGGCTGCTTACACTAGACAAAGAGGCGAGTTCTGCTGCTGCTCTGCAGAGTGTTTGGTGCTCAGGCCATCTTGGAGACCTTCGTCTGATTTGGAAGCACGTCAACCGCGGGAGTCCGGAGGACTGGGAGCACCGGCCACGAGGGCAGCCACCTCAGACGCTGCCACGACGCTCTGAGCGGCGAAGCGGCGTGAGGCGGCGGGAGAGCCACGGGGGAGGGGCCGCGCCGGCCAGCGCGCCGCACCGCCTCCTTCCCGCGGCAGGAGCGGAGCGACCCTGAGAGGAGAGGCCGCGCCGCCCCCGACGTCGCCCTCTGGCGGTGGGAGCTGGCACCGCCGGGTCGCGGGGATGCTCCAGGAGACCACTGGGATACAAGTGGACTCACCCGGGACGCAGGCAAGAAGGGAAAACGGACTGCTAAAAGAAAGGCCACCTGGCGGGGCAGGAACCCCTCTGGGAAGATTACAGGGACAGTCGGGGCCATGGCAGTCAGAGAGAGAAGAGCAAAGAAGCGCTTTTAAAGGTTGGAACCAAGATGCCCCTTACAGAGGACGCCATGAAGAACCCGTGAAGAGGGACCGTGGGAAGACGCCCGAGGACCTGAGGACAGGGGCGGCGGAGCCCGCGCCCTCATTGCCCCTGCCCCGGAGGCTGCCCGCGGGAGCCGGACCCTGGGCCTCTTTTCTTTTCTTTGCAATCGTTACACCATTCAAGATTAGATTTTTATGTAGATAATCATTTTTAATAAACATCCATCTAACCAATTTATTTCATGTCTAACTAATACATGTAGTGTGAAAAATCAGGTAGAAATCTGTAATTTGGAGATAACGATAATGAATAATGTGTAGCAAAACAATCTTAATCATAAACTTGCTACATGGTAATTAATAGTATAAATTGAAAGCTGAACCACAGTATTTTCATAAATTGAAAACAAATTGTGATCAACATTCTAGGGATAATTTTTTATTCCTATTTATTTATGCTTTTCTTCACTGTTTCCTTTGAGAAGATCGTATAAGAATTCAAAGTTAAAGAGATCTTTATAAATTACCATAGAATGATTTATATTTGTATTATTTCTTTTTTATATTATAATTATTATGAAATCAATAATATCTTTTTTTTTTTTTTTTTTTTTTTTTTTTTTTTTTTTTTTGAGACGGAGTTTCATTCTTGTTGCCCAGGCTGCAGTGCAATGGCTTGATCTCGGCTTACTGCAACCTCCGCGTCCCAGGTTCAAGCAATTCTCCTGTCTCAGCCTTCTGAGTAGCTGGGATTACAGGTACCCGCAACCATGCCTGGCTAATTTGTGTTTTTATTAGAGACAGGGTTTTACCATGCTGGCCAGGCTAGTCCTGAACTCCTGAACTCAGGTAATTCACCTGCACCAGCCTCCCAAAGGGTTGGGATTACAGGTGTGAGCCACTGCGCCCAGCAGAATGATGTAGTTCTATTGTAGGTTTTAATGATAAGTGGTCAGAGGACTTCAGTGTCAGAATGTTACATTTCATCTGCTTTCAGACAGAAAATTATGCCTCCATTAATTTTAGTATTCACTTATTAGATTTACTGTCAAATCTTAAATTTCTCTGTTGTTAAACAACATTCATTTTGCAAAGATAAAAATGACAACCAATATTCAAGATTTTGAAAAATTTTAAGTGTGTATTTGTGAATATATTAAACACTGATGAAGTGATTCATTCTAAGACAATTGAATTGAATTATGTATCTGATTACAAGGAGAGTAATTCAACAGCAAAAATGTCTATATATCTAATTTCTGCCATGCTGATGCCAAAGACATATGAGTTGACAATATTCTAGGCATTTCAGAATAAACCAGAAAGAATAAGTATAATATGATAATATTTTCTAATGGCTTTTCCAGATTGTCTATGAATCAATAAAATACGTAAAAGGAGTTGACCTCGCCTGCTATAATGGGTAGTTTCTAGCTAAGAAAATAAGTGACATGGGCTACAATTATGTCTACTAAAGGAAATACAGGCATATAATTTGAATTAACATCCTTGTGAAATACTGCAACCACACATATTAATTTGCAACATGAACCGTGAACAGTCAAATCTGTTTTACTCCAAAATCAATTCAAGAACAAGATAATTCTGATAATTCTGCATCTTTAAAATCAAGAATTAATTTACAAAAATATTTATCAACTATATATTATGTAAATATACCAAGTCAAGCACTATGGAAAGGAAACCATAAAACTTGCGTAATTTTCCTGAAGTACCTATAACTTGGCACAGTATATATGAATAAATGAAACTTGTATCTTACAGTTAAATATAGACAGAGAGGTCAAAATACATATATAAAAATCTCTCCCTATTCAATATTTTATTCTATGAAGTCACATGAAGTCACAATTATTTGTGTTTTATTCATTGTCAACATTTTATTATTTTATAAACATTGATTTCATGATAATTAAAAAGTTTAAAGGTAAATATAAGAAAAAATTTAAAATACCATACCATCTAATGATAAAAAGCAAAAGCTTGGGTTAAAAATATTTATTTACTTTTATTGTTTCTTAAAACAATTTTAAATTATCCAATAGAAATGATGTATACTTTTAAGAAAAAAAAAGCAGATATATAATGCAATATAAGTCTGATAAACTATATATAAAAAATATAGAGTATACAGAAGATGTAGGAAAAAGATCAACAGCATGAGCAAAAATAAATTGCTTACATTGATTTGCTGTATTCAGCAAAACAACTGAAAATAAAAGGATAATGAAATTTTTTTAAACATCAGAGATGAAAAGAGAATATAGAGATGAAATTCATAAATAAAAAATAACCAGAAAAAATTATGTTTGTGTTTTAAAATTAAGAAAGTGATGTCAACCATGTGCAGTGGCTTATGCTTATAATCCCAGCTACTTAGTTGGCTGAGGTGAAAAGATTTCCTAAGCCCAGAAGTTTGAGGACACAGCTATAATTAAACCGAAAGAAAAAAATAAGAAAGGAAAAGAAAGTGAGTTCAAGTTTCAGCTTTGACATGTAAAAAACTTAGAAATCATCAACGTCATCTTTACAAAAACAATAAAATTTGAAAATCAGATGACCATTCTTGGACCCATCAGCACACCTCTAGAGCCATAAACTGTTAGAAGCACTTAAATGGTAATTTTGATAAACATCTGGAGATTGAGTGTGAATTAATTTAGAGTGACAAACTCCTGGGACGGCTGCAGTCTTAGTGGAATCCTTACAATTTTCTGAGTTTTTCTTCTTGGAACTCTACCAGATTCCTGCTCTGAAAAGACAAGAAGAACTACCTCATGGCACACGTAGGAGTAACCGGCAGATTAAAAGCACAGTCAATAGGGGACGAGGCCTGTAAGAAATAGAATGCAAATTCTGTAGCCAGGGAAGAAAGAAGGGGTGAGAGTGGTGAAGAGAGTGACCTAAATGGAAGAAATTCTTGTGAAAGTCATAGGCCTCAGTTAAATGAGTTAATTAAAAGACTAAATTTAATCATAAGACTATATAATGTTCCCCTCTTTCACACTTCACCTCCACACCAGCAAATACTTAGTATAATCACACTGCAGTACAGCTCACACAGCTGCAAGAAGCAGACTCAATCTGTCTGTGGAGTAGTATTTAGGGAAACTCAAATTCAAGAGGGGAGACAAAACATAGAATATCAGGGGAGCTTTGAGCCTTTGGCACCTTTAGTTATTCCAAATATCAAACACAACCGAGTCCTAACCATATTAAAATAAACCCTTGTACCAATGGCCTATTTACCTGTTCTTTTTTCTTTTTTCTTTTTTTTTTTTTTTTTTTTGAGACAGAGTTTCACTCTTGTTACCCAGGCTGGAGTGCAATGGCGCGATCTCGGCTCACTGCAACCTCTGCCTCCTGGGTTCAAGCAATTCTCCTGCCTCAGCCTCCCGAGTAGCTGGGACTACAGGTACGCACCACCATGCCCAGCTAATTTTTGTATTTTTAGTAGAGACAGGGTTTCACCTTGTTGACCAGGATGGTCTTGATCTCTTGACCTCATGATCCACCCATGTTGGCCTCCCAAAGTGCTGGGATTACAGGCGTGAGCCACTGCGCCCGGCCTTACCTGTTCTTATTATCCAACAAAATATGTCTGGCTTGCCATAAAAAATTACAAGGCAGTCAATAAGATAAGACAAAACACAGTCTGAAGAGACAAAGCAAGCATTAGAATCAGATTCATATATAACAGAGATATTAGAATCATCAGACAAAAAGCTGAAATAACTATGATTAATATGTTAGGGGCTCTAATGGGGAAAATGTAAACAGCATGCAAGAATTGATCACCTCTGGCTGGACACGGTGGCTTGTGCCTGTAATCCTAGCACTTTGGGAGGCCAAGGCAGTTGGATCATTGAGTTTAGGAGGTCAAGAGCAGCCTGGCCAATATGGTGAAACCCTGTCACTACCAAAAATACAAAAATTAGCCAGACATGGTGGAATGCACCTGTAATTCTGGCTGCTTGGGAGGCCGAGGCAGGAGAATCACTTGAACCCAGGAGGCAGAGATGGCAGTGAGCCAAGATCATATGCCAGTGTACTCCAACCTGGGCAACAGAGCAAGACTCTGTCTCAAAAAAAAAAAATTGATACTCTCCAAAGACATAGAAATTCTAATTAAGAATCAAAATAAAATGCTGGAGTCAAACATACTGTAAAAGAAAGGGAGAATGCCTTTCATGAGCTCTTGAATAGAGACATAACAAGTCAAGAATATGTGATTTTGATAACAGATCAATAATT